ATGGGCATGTCCATAGACCGATCGGGAAAAGTTTTATAATATGAAGAGTTGCAAAGTATGAAATTAAAAAACAAAATTGAAAAAAAAAACGAACCAAAAAAACCCGAACCAACCAAAACAAAACATTAATACTGATGGGGAAAAAAAAAAAAAAAAAGAAGAAAAAAAAATTATAGAGGGTGGGAGGAGAGCGGAGGGGGGCCCCCCTCCGCCAGTTGGAATGGCGGCAACACACAACGATTTGAGATGGGAGCTGCGGGGGGAGAGAAAAAAAAGAAACGAAACATCTTTTAAATCAATCCCTGGTTGTAGACAAGTTCTCCGAGACCAGTACCTGGCACCACTCCAACAAACAAACAGGGGGGAAGAAAAGTCCGTCGGCGAGGGGCGGCGGCGGCACTTACTCCGCCGGCTCGGCGGCGGGCCCCTCCGGACTGCTCTCGGAGGGGGGCTCCTGCCGCGCCGCCGCCGGCTCCTCCGCTGGGGCCGCCTCCTGATCGCCGCTGCCCGCCTCGCTCGTGGCGGCACCGGCGCCCGCCGCCTCCTCAGCTGCCTTCGCCTTCCCCTCCGCCGCCTGCTGCGGCTCTTCCACAGCCGCCGCCGGGACCTCTTCTCCCGCCGCCTTCTCGGGGGCGGCCTCGTCCGATTTGGCCTCCTGCGAGTCCCCCACCTCCTCCTTCGCCGCCTCGGCGCTGCTGCCGGCGGCGGCAGCGGAGGCCTCCTCGGCGGCGGCCTTGCCTTCCTCGCTACCCGCCACCTCGGGGGCTGCCGCCTCCTCTTTCCCGCCCTCCGCCGCGGCGGCCACGCCGCCCTCGCTCTCGGCGCCCTCGCCGGCCTCCTTCTTGTTCTTCTTGAAGGAGAAGCCGCTCAGCTTAAAGGACTTCTTGAAGGAAAAGCGCTTCTTTTTTTTTTTCGGGGTCTCGCTGCTGGACGAGGGGGTCGCACCCTCCTCAGTCTTGGGGGAGGACTCCCCCTCCGCCGGGGAGGCCGGCTCGGTGCTCTCCGCCTCGGCCACCTCCTTTTCGGAGGCGGGCTCCGACGAGGCCGCCTCCTCCTTGCCCGTGTCTTCGGCGGGCGCGCTGCCGTTGGCCTGCACCTCCTCCTTACCCGCCTCCGCTGCAGCGGGGGAGGCGTCGCCGTTCACTTTCACGTGGCCGTTCTCCTGCAAGACAGCGACCAATGTTACCAGCGGTACCGAGAGGCTGGGGGAAACACGGGGCGCAGCCACCCTCCCCGCCCAGCGGCCTTTCCTCGCACACTTTTTGCTCCCAAGGTTTAAACTCCCGGGCCCTCCGCCGACCCTCGCCCGGCTGGGCCTCGGCGGGCGCCCCCAGCGGCGGGCGCGACGGGCGGCAGCCGCCAGAGGGCGCCGCGGCTCCACGCAGCGGCTGCTTCGCCGCTCCCCCCCGCCCCCGGCGCGCCCCGTCCAGCCGCGGCGGCGGCACGGGGCGGGGAAGGCAAGGCAAGGCAAGGCTAACAAAGCTCGCCCGGCCCCGGAGCCCCCGCCCGCCACCGCTGCCCCTCTCTGCCCGGGCGCTGCGGCGAAGCGCCCCCGCCCTCCCCTCCCCGGTCTCCCCCCCCGTCGCATTTGCATCTCTCAGGCGCCCGGAGCGCGGCGGGCTGCCCCGGGCGGCAGCTGCGGGGGCAGCGGGGGGTGCCCGCCCGCAACGCCGCCGCTGAGCGGGGCACGGCCGGCTCGGCAGCCGGCTCACGCTTGGGGGTGGGGGGTGGTGACTGAGAGCCGTCAACCCCGCGGCTGCTTGACCCCCCGGCGGAGCTGCCGCGGACGGGGCGGGAGGCGCAGCCCCTGCTCCGCGCTCCCGCCCGAGGGGCTGCCCGCCGCCGAGCCCCATCCGGGCGGCTCCGTTCCCCGCCGCCACAAGGGTATCCGGCTACCGCGGGAGGTGTTTCGGCTAGTCAGCGGGGGTCTTCGGGAGGAGGGTAAGCGGACAGAAAAGCCGAGCGGCGTAAGATCCTTCCGTTTACGAGCCATTGGGACGCTTCACCACGATACACGAGGGATTAAAAAAAAAAAGGGGAAAAAAAAAAGATATGCCCCCTCCTCCCCCTCCCCCCTGAGGAAAGATAAAGGAACGAATCATTCAGAGTCGAACCCGTTAAAAAAAAAAAAGAAAAAAAAAATATCCCTTTGCCTCGAGTTGCAAAGATAAAAGGATCGACCGTATTCTCCATTGAATGTGCCACTGGGGCATCAAAGGAAGAAGAATTAAACAGGATATGAAAGAGAGTCCGTCGAAGTTGGCTTAAAAAAAGGAGTAGGTTTAATTTTTTTTTTATATTTCTGTTGTTTTTTACCTGTCCATTCGCCTTGGATGGAGATGCAGCCACTGCTTCCCCCGGTTTCTCGGCGGAGGCTTCGCCCTTTGCAGCGGTCTTGGAGAACTGGGCACCCATGCTGTCTTATTCAACAAAGAAACTCAACAGATCCAAAAGGAGGGGAAACAAAGAGCGTTGGTTTGGTATAAATACTGGGCGACCAGCAGCAGTAGCAACACACACACACACCAGAGGGGAAAAAAAAAGAGAAGAGAGAACAGAACCGATTATAATGCACTCCTTTTAAAAAATTTAAAGTTGAAGAGATCAAAAAGCAGCAGCACAGGAGGGAGGGGAAAAAAAGGGAGGAAAAAGTCGAGCAAAAAAAAAAAAAGGAGCCCAAGTTTAGTAAAAAGAAGTAATAAAAAATCCCAGATTTGTAGCCGTACTGTAGACAAGGAGAAAATGGAGAAATCTCCCTGGTTGCTAATAAGATGCGGAGTCCAACGCCCAAGTGCACAGATGAATGGGCTTCCCGAGCGGTGACGGCAGCCCTCCGCCCGGAGCCGGCCAATCGCCGCCGCGCCACACAAAGGGGGGCGGGGCCTGGCCGCCTGGCGAACAATGGAGCCGCGATGGCAGCGGTTTGAAATCAGCCCCCGGCCGATAATGAATGTGTGCGCCGCTCCGGCGCGGCGCGGGCGGGCGCGCAGAGATCCGCGCCACGCCACGCCGGGGAGCGGACAAAGCACCCCGATAAAGCGGAGCGGGCGGGCGGGACAATGGTGCCCAGGGCGTGAGTGTGAGTGTGAGCGAGCGAGTGTGAGTCCGGCCCTGCCCCGCCGCCTGCCCCCACCAGCTGCCGCCGTGAGAGAGCAACAGATAGTGTGTGCGATCCCGGGCGGGGGGAGAGGGAAGGAAGGAAGGAGGGGATTTGCTGCTGCTGCTGCTGCCTTTTTTCCTTTTTTTTTCTTTCCTTTTTTTTTTTCCCTTTTCTTTTCTTCCCTGGGTTTAATTGGTCGCGATTGTTAAGTCGCCCCCAATTTAGAAGGTATTTGAACCACGTAGATCGGGTTTCGCCAAACGAGATCACGAGTAGGAATTAGTAGGTCTGTAGGCCAGATGTTGCAAACGCGACAGCAGCAGCAACGACGGCGGGAGCCGCTCCCGAGGCAGGAGCGGACCCCTCCCCCACAGCGATATCGGTTTGGAATAAAATATTTTGTGATTAGCCTCCGGCTCTAATTAAATTTTGCTGTCTGATTATTCCTGATTTGTGTTTTGAGAGTGTTTTCTGAGGCTGTGACCCATTTCACCGTTGCGTTTCCACGCGCTCAAGCAGTGGGCGAAGCCGCGTTATCGGGGCGAAGCGACGTTGTCGGGGGAACGTTCGCGCTTTCCTAAACCCCAGATACCCCGGGTGTGTATTTACGTTGAATTTAAACCCTCGAACAAGATGTAACCCTAAACTAACGCGTGCCGAATTAACGGAGAGCTCCAGCTCTCAGCAGCTATGGGCTGGGTGCTATAGCAGGACCCGACCGGTTTCCTTCTCGGGGGAGGGGGCGGCGTGTGCGGGAGCTGGGCGGCCCCCCCGCCGGGCTGTGCGGGCAAGGCTGGCCCAGACCCCCCCCTACCCTCCCTTCCCATCCCCAGCCCCTTTTAAGGAGCAGAAACGAGCGTCAGAAACGATAGTTTCCCAAACTCGGGTAATCTCCTCCAAACGCCTCTTGTTTATAAACAAGGATGTTAAAATTACTCCGGCGAGGAAAGGCTGCAGAGGGGGCTGCCCGGCCGGCGGATCACCCGGGGCTGGGGGGGCAGGGGTCTTTGTGCGGCAGCCGCCGCCTTTCGGTAACCCCGGCGAGGGCAGCCGCTAATTTTCCATCGGTCAAGAGAGTATTTCGTTTACTGGGGCAACAGGGGCATTTGGTTGGGGTTGTTTTTCTGTGGGGGACGGAGCCTGTCCCTCCCCCGCCGCATTTCACGCAAAGCTCCCAGCCGCCGAGTGCCTCCGCTCCCTTTGTCTCTGCGGCCGCCGCCGCCCGCCCCGCAGAGCCCGGCGCAGCGACCTCCCGCTCCTTCGCGGAGCTGCCCCTCCTTCCGCCCCCCTCCCCGCGGCCTCGCACCCCTGGCAGGCAACACCCGCACCCGCGGGCCGGGGCTGGGGGCGGCCGCTGGCAGCGCTGGGGTGCACGCCCAGGGCGGGGTGGGGGTAACAGGGGCGCCGCCAACGCTGCCGCCGAGCCCGGGGCTCCCTCGGTGGGGCCGCGCCGCCGGGCGGTTTCCCTGGCGACTACCGGGGAGCGGCGGGGGCTCCGCGGCGGGGCCGGCCCTGCCCTGCCCATCCGGGCAGCACCTGCAGCCCCTGGACCCGTCGCTGCGGGGCTGGGCCGGGGTCGATGGGACCGGGAGCACTGCGGCGGCAGCTCGCGGGGGTCCCTCGCCCTCCGCCCGCGCCTCCCCGGTCCCCGGACATGCTTGAGGAGCGGTGTGCGGCAGAGGGCACCGCCGGAGGGAGGGGACGGGGAGAGCTGCAGCAGGCTCACCTTGCGGAGTGGTGGAGCGAGACCGTGGGGCGCGGACAGCCGGACAGCTTCTGCTTCGTGATCCTCCTCCGCTTCCTAAGGGACTCCATGAGTCGTGTCTTCCCCGCTTCTTTTAATCTGGATATTAAGCAGAACGTGATTTTGTTGTTGGTTTTGGTCTTTGTCTGGGTTTTTGGTTTGTTTTTTTTCAAACTAGTTGCTGTAACAGCTTACCTCAGAAGACCTGCTGGATGACCATGACAGGACTGCACAATCAGTATCAAAAGTCATCTGTCCACCTCTCCCTGGTATATGCAATTTCACCTGCACGGGCATATGCAGTTTTTACTTTCCATCGTAGCTACATCTGAATTTCAGAGTTAGTGTCACTGAAAGATTTCACAGAGTGACTGTGGGAGTTGTGACAGTGGATGCTTTTTGCATTATGCTTTTGGTATGTTTTTCAACCATTTTAATGTTTCATAACTTTAAGGGGTGAAAAAAAAAAAAAAGAGATGAAAAGAAAAAGCTTTAACTGATGTTATCCTGGGTGCTTAGTTCCACAAGTTCTTCTGTAGAGTCTCTATTCTGGACAAACAGGAAATCTGGAATACATGTACACTCCCTCTGTCAGTCCCAGTGCACTGCAACCTGGACAGCTATCTCTGCTTTCTAACCCAAACCCTTGAATGTGAGGTGCAAATACAAGATTTAACCCCTTGACTGACCTCTTGAGCCCACCAGGCTCCCACAAGGCTGCTCCTTGTCACACCACACCTTTAAGCACCAAGCAAACAGATACGCTGGAGGGGAGTTTCCTCATTCTAAAACTTGCACTTTATTCAAGTTTCTGATCTTTTCATCTCCTTCCAAAGGGGGGAAAAAAGAGAAAAGATAAAGACAAACAAACAAAACCACAAGCAAAAAAACCTAACCCAAACCCATCCCTCACTGGTGTGTATTGAAGCAGGACTAATCGGATATGAATGTGAAAATGTTGATTTTCTGTGATGCCTTACACACAAAACACTATTGCTGCATTTCTTTGTCAGGAACCAGGATGTACCAGTGTGAAGGTGCTTCTGTATAGGCTGTTGGAGATTCAGTGTCTAAAAAAAGTGGTACCTTTGTTAAGTGTGTTTGTGTTAGGGGTTTTATTATAATAGCTGTGTCAGCAAAAAAAAAATGTATTCCCTCACCATGTGGCATGGGTGACGATATTTCTAAGAACATGACAGCCATGACTGAGAGACAGTGCTGAAGAGTCCAAAAATGATCAAGGAGATATTAGGCTGAGAAGCTGTTCTTAGAGGGGCAGCAGGATTTGCCTGCCCTATCTCTGCCAAAGGTTAAGGACCCTGCCACAGCCGATTTGCTAATTTCTACTTGTCTGTTTTACCCCCAGATGAAATTGTCTTTTTGCAGTACTTCCAAAATGCGACTCCTCTCAGCATGTTTTGCCTGAGATTTGTTTTCATCCTCTACCTTTTGGGAAGGGGAAGGACTGAGGTGTGGACTTACTAAATGGTTTGTACCATTTGAACCAGTGCTCCCCAGCAAATCAGTGCTGCAGCTGACTCAGGGTTACTGGTGCTCTGCAGTGACTTTGTGATCATTAATGCTGAATCTGTGCCTTGCAGCTACGACATTGATTGGGCATAAACACATACCTTTCTGTCTAGCTGGCCAGGTATAAGCATGGTACAGAGTGCTTATGGCAACTTTACGCTGACCTTCTGTGGGTAGGTCAGAAAACAAGCTGCTAGCCTTTGGCCCAAGAGCAGCTGAGGCAAAGCTTCCCTTGCAAAGAGTTTGGCCACGTTTGAAACAACAGCTGAATATGGTGCCATGCTCTAGGTTATGTGGCTATGAAAATCCTGATCTTGCATCAGGTCCTCTGAAACTGCAATTTGGCCCCCTGTGCAAGCATGGCTTCCTACTTGTGTGACCACCACCCAACCTCCCATCTGACTAATATTCAGCTTTTAATTTTTAATTTTCCCAATATTGCATAAAACATTCCTTTTCATCCTTTCCTGCAAAGCAAGTAAATGAAATGCTACTTTCATTTGACAGTTCAGGAAAAGCAGAAAGCACCTAAACAACAGTTCCCTGCTGGTATGGCAGCTGCTCTCCAGAGTCCCAGGAAAACCCATCAGCGACACTCACCCTTGGCTAAGGTAAAGATAATCATGAGCACGTTTTCACTCCTGTTAAATTCCGAAACTTTTAAAAACATGTCCTAACTTGCCACATGTAGTCAGGACACAAATGTATTTTAACACGTTTGCTGGCAAATGCACTAAAATGCAACACACCCCGTCAACAGAGAAATTGAAAACATGTTAATTAAAAGTTTTCACTGACACTTTTTTTCTTTTTTAAATACACCTTTATCCTCGTCCAGACAAGCCTTTAAAGAAAGTGAATCTGAGAGCGGTTTTGGGAGCTGGGATACAGTATTTACAGAAATCCTGAAACAGCGTGTGCTGTGCCTCTCCCCTGGGCTACCTGAGCTCTGAGGAGGCACTGGGAAACCTTTTTGTGTCCTGGGGTGCATGGAGACCTTTTCTGTGTGCAGGGAGGGCAGCAAGCAAAATAATAAATGGGAATCAAAGTTTACACCGAGAGATAATGTTCCCTATATGCCAATCTACTCCAAAGCCCTTTCTTCTCTTGTACTGCTCATTAAGAAGAGGTTGTGCAACATAGGCATTGGAAAGACAACATCTTGCTTTCCTAGGAGCTGTTAGGCTGGGATGCTGAGGGAATTTCATTCTTGTTTTAATTTGTGTATATTTTCTGGTAATGACATAACAGGACAATATGATCCAAATAATGTTTAAACTTTCAAGTTCAAAAACTAAATTCAGATTTGTGGAACAATTGCACCTTTTCCTGTCTCTGAGAAATGAGCATTTCATGGTGTCCTAATCAGTGCTGAGATTTCTTACTGACACATCACTTAAGTTTCTTCAAGCTTTACTACAGTTTGGTGCAATGCTATCAGAAGCTTCTAAGCTTTGTATCACTCACAACCATTACAAACCCTTTCCTAATATTTGCCAAGCTTTTATTAGCTGAATACATTCAACAGTGTTTGTTAAATAGTATCCAGACTATTTGAATGTCCGGTGTGCTAGGAAACTGAAAACAGAGCTTATATGTTTTAAATATATCATACAGTCGGTCTTTCTTACATCTAATAAAAACTAAAATCTGCCAGCCAACTAGATAACCACCCTCCAGTAATGATGATGGTTACTTCTGGGGAGAAATAAAGAAAAGACCCACAGACTAAAATCAAGACTAAGAAAACCTGATAACAAACCCAACCCCAAACAAGTAAAAATTCCTTAGATCGTACAAAAGCAAAAACACTCCAGTAAAGCTGAAGCCCCTCCCTTAAGAACAAGCACAGCAAGAAACAACAACTAAAAGGGAAGGTGCAAATATACCACTAAATGCCTGGTCCCTGCTATATGCTGATTCTGCATTAAAGAACTGTGTTTCAGCAGCAAAGAAGGGGCATTTGGGCTCCATAGCGTTAACAGTGTGTGGACAAAAATAAAAAAAATAATAAAGGGAGATAGTGGCCCTGCAGTAGGGAACTGTAAACATTTTATATCCATCAGTTCTAAGGACAGATACTTCTGACTGTAGTCCCCTGACAGTTTTACCTGGGCTAAGCCAATGCAGTAGCAGTCCTTTGCTCCCTTCATTCCTGTGCTCTGGCCCTGCAGCTCCACTCCCTCTATTGTGTGTACCCTGGACCTCCTGATAAACCATTTTAGAGAGTTAAACCGGCAGAAAACTGTTCTTTCTCTCATTTTCATTTTTTCCCCTGCTCTCTTTTTTTTTTTTTTTTTGAGGGGGGAAAGATAGCTTCCTACTGGTTTAGCTTCTGTAACAGTTGGCGTGGCCAGACAAGTAGCAGTGATGGCAAGCAGGTGATAACCTGATTCAGCATGAAGTTAAGCTGCAGTTCCAGTGACATTTACTTCAACAGCACCACCGCCTCACACAAACCCCCTTCTCTGCATCTTCTGCTCATTTCCATTTTTATGCTTCTCCATCAGTTTTGCTGGGATGAGTGATCTGAGTAAAAAATATGTGATAACCAGGTATTTATTAGAATAGCATTGATAGGTGATGCCTCATCAAGTTTTACTGAAAGATTACATGTGCTGTAATGAACAGTGATTTGTTTTGTGTGGCTACAGCATTTTTGGTGAACAAGCCAGCCTGGCTTTTATGAATTCCAGCTACACTGGGAGGGGGACATATTTAAATAAGAGTGGAACCATGCACAATTATGCTGAAAAGTGTTGCAAGGTATGAAATGAAACTGATGGCCCCAGCTAAACAGAAAGTTTTCTGAAATAGGAAACAGGAAGCATTTGTGCTTGACTCAGAGATTTGGATTCCTGGCATTTGGTCGTTGTGAATTCAAACCGATTTAGGGCTAAATCAAGCAAGGGCTTGGGGCTGTGGAATTAACAACCTCCATGTCAAGTACCTCAGCTCTCCATAGGGCTTAGGCTGTGGGGAGAAAGCCAAGTGCCAAAGTCTGTAATTTGCCCAGCTGGCAGGTAGAGGCTGGTACCCCGAGTCTGGTTTTATGATTCTTACTGCCTGAACATATGCACTGTAGCCACAAAGTGCAAAAGGCTAAGCCAGTACAAGTTGTTATTATTATTATTATTACTATTATTATTATGTTCGGCTCAGTAAGACTGTTTGTTTCAGGTGGTTGGAGTAAACGCTATGTAGTGCATCCCAGTCAACTTGGCAGAAATGTGTGTGACTGCTGGTGTCCTAGTAGGGCACAGATTTTATATCAGTAGTCATATAATCCCTAGCTGCACAAAAGTAAATCTGAAATAGAAATACAAAGCATTTGTGCCCTTCTCAGAGACTTGGATTCCTCGTATTTGCTTGCAGAGAAGTATATCCCCTCACGTGGGAGCCAGAGCTGTGACCTCTTTCCTGCCGTGAGGTGCTTTAGCCCCTTTGAAAGCTTAAGAGGCAGTCCCCTTTCATGAGCAGCTCAGTGGTGGGGCTCAGGAAACATGGGTTTAGTTCCCACCTGAGAAAATTTGAATTCCTTCATTTACCTCCCCCTGCTTTTCCCATGAAGTTCTGTGGTGAGGGAGTTCGAGCACAAATGTTTCCATTTTCTCTTGCTGAAACTGCTCAGCAAAGGAATTAAGAGTAACTCTTTGGCATGGAGAATTACATAGTAATTGTCGCAAAAAAAAAAAAAAAAAAAAAAAAAAAAAGAGCATGGTTCTGTGGTCTAGTTGTTTAGCATGCTTGCCTGGGAGCGGGAGACAGCTTGCCTCTGGTCCTTGCTCCACTGAAAATGCAACTGTTCTCTAGTTTCTAGCTCATGGAACAAGCAAGGCTGGCATGCAGAGTTTGGTCTTAGCAGTTTCACCCAGTGACTACAATACACAGTTGTGATCCCTTTTTATCTCAAATAATCATTTCTTTGCAAAGTGGAAAAAACTGAGCAGAGAGCTGGTACACCCTGGCACTGTCGTGCTTCCAGTGCGGCAGGTCTGTTGCATGGCTTACACTGGGACCATGGCATGCAGTCCTCTTCCCTGCCATGTGACAGGACCTCCTTCACAGGCAAGGTAGGTCCGTGCCCATCAATTGCTCTGAACACCACACACACACAGACCTCCTCTGTGTCTATCCAGAGATGGCCTTTGGGCAGCTGCTTCTGAGACAGGACAACTGAGGTGGGACACAGTCCCTCGCCTGAGCACCTCTGGTGGCACGTCCACCCCCTCTCTCTCCCAGTATTTTAAAAGCAGTGACAGATCACATCTTCAAGACAGAGTTCCTGGGTCCAGTCTGATGAATTCAGCAACTGAGTGATAGTTTAAAAATCTTGGTTTGGGTTTGGATGACCAAAATGCACATATATTCTTTTGGAGATTTAGCTGCAGTTTGTAACCCCTCAACAGAGAGGCAAGTTCATTGGTGTGTCATAATAGATACTTCAGTCTTTCTTTTTTATTATTTATTTTATTTATTTTATTTTATTTTTATTGGCACAGTGAAAGAATGAATCAGATTATTCAGAATATCATTCCAGTATTATATATCCACCACAATTTTATTTTGGTTTATATTATGACTAAACATTTTCATAGTAGAGCTGGTTTATTCTATGTGTATTTTGTCTTTTAACACCTTGCTTTTCATAGTAACCTGATACAAGAGGATTAATTTTATGCCAAGTTCTGTGACCCCCAGAAGAGGATTAAGTTCATACTCAGTTCTACAAACCCCTAGAAAGGTCAATCTTTATACAAAGCATCCAGTTGTCATTAGGAGTATGGATATGTAGAATGAGAGCCATCACTTTAAGTTTAATATTAACAGTGTTCCTGCAGCCACATACTGATTTTTGTATATGTGGTGACTGTGACAACTGAGGGATCATTTTTGTAGCCAATATTGCTAGAAACCACAGCTATGAGGCTCAAGGCTGCAGGCTGCAGGCAAGTAAATTAAAGGTTGTTAAAACAAATGGGCTAACAGTTACAAATTCATCTGCTTTAGAATGGCGCACATGCTTAATGCAAGAAACAGGAAGAGTTATTGGTGAAATAACTAGTTTAAGACAGGGCCATTTCTGTCTGTATTCCTGGCTTGTTGCACACTGCCTATGTGATTGGGGTAAATCACTGTAGGTACATCTGCCCTGCAGACCAGGGTGCTAGGTTGGGGCACTAGCTATGCTACATCTCCTTGTGGATACTGGAAGCAGATGTGGAGATAAGCACAGAGGAACGGACTCCACATCTTGATGAAAAAAAATTTATGCCTTGAACTCTGTGTTTGTGTGGCTAAACAGAACTTTTACCCAAGCTGGTTTCAAGCAGGGTTTGGACCAAATGGGTCCAGAAGGGCCTTCCCACCACAGCTACACCTTGATTCTGTGTGATTCAGTGTGTGATACAGTTTTTAGTACTACCTGAGCTATGGCTGTACTCACTTCAGTTTCAAGAGATTGCATTTCTGTCACCTTGTGCCTCAGTTAAATGGTTTATGGAACATGGATATTAATGCAACTTCGTATGTGCCTAGGAAGAATAAATATGGCGAAAACTGTGAAGTGCTTTCAGTGAATGGGGCATATAAATGCCTTGTGTACACATTTATAGGAAAAAGAAACTTTACAATCTTTTCCCCCTGTACAGTACAAATTACGTTAAAGTGTGAGAAAACAATATCTGCAATAATGTTCTTGAAACTAGGTCCTCAGAAGCTGAGAAAATAATAGGTTTAGTGTGAACCCCTGCCTTAGTAAGTTCCCATGCTTTCTATGATACTATGTTGGAGTCTATAGAGAGCAGATGAAGTTGTGTCATAGTAATTTTTGTTTATTCCTTTTAAATTGTACTTTCTCACCCTTTCCTAAGGTCTCCCATTTCCCCTCATGCAGCTATAAATGGCTGGCTTCAGTCTGTTTAGGCCGAAGGCATGTATGCAGTCTTTTATTGACAAAAGCAGATGGCAATTTCCCCTACAATCCGCTTCCTTTTCACTGACTGGCATGTGAAACATGGAGAGCATACTGGAAGACACGCCGTCATACCAGGCCATCCTCAGAGTGCTCCCTTCGCCTGGGAGAGCCCAGGACCTGCCTGCCCATGAGGAAGCTGAATTACTGGAAACTATTTCGTATTTGGCTTAGAGTTATTTTGACGATCTTCAGCTGTATCCTTTATTTCTTCCTTCTTAGCATGTAAATGTCCTTTTTATAGCTGCTATTCTTACAGAATTTCTGGTTCTCTTTTCTTAAAGCTTCTCATTCCCACTTCCTCATTTTTATTTAAGTCAGTCCCTTTTCATCTTCTGGGCATACTGCACTATGCAAGACATGCATTCAAGCAGTGAAATCTTTTGTCTTCTTCAAATTATCTCATGATGCTGGCCTCTGTTACCCAGTTTTAATCTTCAAAGTGGCAATTAAGTCCTTTTTGCCATACTGCCTCTCATACTTATGAGGAGCTCCACAAAATATATTATTATCTTCCTTCATATGCTTCCTTAAAATCCTCCTTTCATATTACACCAACCAGGGCAGTGTAATATAACCAGTGCAATGACTGGTTACTCTATGGATTTCTATTTTTTTTTTCCTTTAGAGTCTGAAAC